CACCACCACCACCTCCCCTCTTGGCTCCTTCTCCCCTGGCTTCGTCCCCAACCGCCACCTGCTCCGTGCCGAGAACGCAGGGTTCCTGCTGGCCTCTCTTTCGTGCCAAGAGCTCCGGGGTGCCAAAAGCCTTTCCAGTCACCGCTGTTGCTCCAGCCAGAGCACTCCAGCGGCTGCCCCTCCTCGTCCTCCTCTTCCTCCACAGGCTGCCAAAGCAGCTGCAACCCGACAGGCAGGGGCACCTTTTCTACCCAAAAAAGTAAGGCCAGTAATATGGCTGTCAGAGATCAACCGCCACCTTGTCTCCTGCCAGATATGTCCCTGGGTAGTGGTGCCACCAGCCCTGATGCCACCAGCGCCACCAGCACCCACCTGCCGTCTTCCGTGAATCCTGCTCTTCCAGGCAGCGGTCTTGGCCGAGGGTCACTTTTGCACAGGAGGAGAGAAATGGCTGGCCGACCGAAGCCAACAGGCTGTGAGAGCAAAGGGGCCTTTTTGCTCTTGCTGGGACATTGGGGAGGGGGGGTTGAGGCTGTGTCCCTCCCAACAAAAGGACCGAAGGAGCCCTCATGAAGCCAAATGGGACAGAGGAAGAGGATGGGCCTCCCGATGGAAGCTCCCGGGTGTTCTAGCTTCCTGGCTAGGAAGAAAGAGGGGGACCTCCTGGGTGGGCCTCTCAGAGGACCTTGGGAAGACGTTCATCAAGACGCCCCCGGGACCAATCCTGACACCCTTGCTGCTCCTTGCCTCCTCTGTTTTCTTCTCCTTAGAGACCCTTGCAGAGGAAAACAGTCTGGCAGCCCCTAAACGACTTTTCAGGGACAACAACCTGCTTCAGGTGCACCAAGTGCAAGGTTCAAAACACGGCTTTAGATGCGAGCGGTCATGGTGATGGAGCAGGTTGGAAGGGGCCCTGGGAAAGGACCGTGCTGTGGACAAGCGGAGGGCAGGGGCACCTCTGTCTCCAGGCGATCGCAAAAAAGGGGCAGCTCGGGGACACGCAGCTTGGCTGGGCTGCCGATTCCGAGGAAGGGTTGATCCATTCGTCGTCTTGTAGTTTCTTCAGCTACAGCCGCAGGCTTGGTCTTAATGTCTGCGTGTGGGGAGGTTATACATCAAACTGTAGGGAAAGGTAAGATTGTTACTGAGAGGGTGGCTCAGCCCTTCATTCATGGACCGGAGATGGGCCGCTCATGCCACACCAAACACAAAAGAGGCTCCACGCAATCCACGCCAAACCAATCCACGCAAAAGAGGCTCTCTCCTGAGCCATTCGTGGGCCTTTGGTGATGGCCAAAAGACAGCTTCTAAAACCATGAATGATTGGTGTCTACAAATACATAATACTGTAACCTAGTTGTGTGCCATCGAATCCATTCTGACTTACGGCAACCCTTTTCAGAGCCTCCTAAGTAGAGAATATTTGGAAGTGGCTTTGTGTTCCCTCCTTCTGCCCCCCCCCCCCGAGACCACTGTGCAACTGGCCCAAGGCCACCCAGGCTGGCTCTTCTCCCCGGAGAAGCCCGGTGGAGGAATCAAACTCCCAACCTCCACAGCCAGGTGCTTAACTCACTGAGCTATCCAGCCAAGCTGTGTTTACAAAACAGGAGTACGCTACTGTTTTCTGTTTCATTCCTCTTGCCCCTTTTGGGTGCTGTTTTGCCCTTCGTCTCTCAATCACATGATAGTTGCTCAGGCTTATAAGATCGTGGGTGTGTGTGGGTGTGTGTGTGTCAGCAGCCAAAATCCGGAACACACAAGAGCGGAGTGAGGGGAGGGAGCAGGAGACTTGAATCTGCAAAAGATCTAGAACCTGGTCAGGAGTGTTCTTTGCCTCAGTTCCTCCTTGTGGGGCGACTGCATGCTGAGCGCTGGCACTCTCCACCCAGATGGCTACCTGACTGCCTGCCTAGCCACTGTGTCCCCGTTTTCGATGCCTTTCAGTTTTTGCACTCATTTCTTGATTGGAGTGTGTGTGTCTTTTTCATTTTTCTGGATTATTTTTGCTGCTGCCACATAGTCTGCCTGTGCTAATGTGCCTTCTTGGGATTATCTTTTGGCATGTTTCCCCAATTTCTCTGGGGATGCCCCCTCCTCATTTCCTTTCTTTCATTATGTTTGTTGCTGCCTGGCCTGCCTGCTAAGACGCCAAAAACAGAAGCTATCCAGCTATAGGAAAGAGAGAAAAATAACCCATATTCGAGTAGTTTTGATTGGGAGGGATCTTTAAGGGCGTTTGTTGGCTTTATTTGCTTGCTTTTCTTGGTTTTGGAGAGAGGAGCTGTGTATGTGTGTGCACGCATACATGTGTGCACCCATGCATAGATGCATGTGATTTTGCTATTTTTGTTGTTATTTTATAGAGGTGCTTTTGCTGCCTGATCAGTTTTTAAAATGTTATTTTACAATGTATTTATTCAGTTAAAAGTGCATATTTTGGCGAGGGAAAGTTGGAATTGTTTAGTTTGTGTCTATAGGGGAGTGTGGTCTGGGGGTGAACATTGTGACTGTGCGAGTATGTCACCGGGCTGCATGGGAAGTGGTGTATTTTTCTCTTGTTTGTAGAGCTGTGTTGCTATTTGTTCCTTTGGTGAGCGGATGTATCCGCGTGCCGGCCGTTCTGTGTCTGCAAATAAGTCTGTTTCCTTGACTTTTTCCCCCCTATTGTACAACCCAGGCCCAGAGGGCTGTGCTGGGTGGAGGGCTCTGCATACTGTCATTTTCTCTTTTTAAATTTTTGGGTACTTTATGGCCTTTTGAATTTCTTGGCAGGTAAGATAAGTATTTTTCCCTTTGTTTATATTTATTTTTACTTTTGTTGTTATATGCATAGAACATAGTTGGGAGGGGCGGTGTCTGCATAGATAGGTCTAGTGACGCTTTTCCATTCTCATATACTGTTGCCTGCTTTTTCAGTAGAATGATTCTCTGTTGCCTTGCCTCTGCATTTTTCTAGTCGTTTTTAAAGATTCTTTAGGGCTTTGCCAGTGCCAACCCCCCCCCCCAAACCCAGCAACACAAATGGGGGAACATGAATCGGAAACTGGAAAGAATATTTCCCTCTAGTATAAAATGAAAGACTGATAAATGAAAAGTATAAAAATTAAAGAGGTATCCGCTCCCAAAAGAACCCAAAATGAAAGAAGTATGATCATTTTTGCTATAATAAAATAATTATATTTTTTGCCATGCATATCCCTATATGACTGGAATTTTTAAATGTATCCGAAATCAGCGGTCTCCTTGTCTACACCAACGTTGGGATCAAAGACAGAGTGTGCTGGGATGTTTTAAGCATTGTAACACCGGCTTCTGCGTATCTATTTCCGATGCCAGATTTCTGTTGGTTTCTTTCTTTGGTTGGTCTCTCACCAGCCCTGGGAAGAAGGTAGAGCAGCCCTGTCATCCCAGAGTGGCACCTGTCACCTTAGAAGAGGAACGTGTGAAAGAGCCCCTTCTGCTGGAGGTGGAATTGCTGGCATCTGTCACAGGCCCCACCCTCATAGATCGTAGGCCTGTAACACGGTGGACCAAGAATGGGTCCCAAGGATCACAGAGTCCAACCTCCTACCAGTGCAGGAGACCCACAGCTTAAGCATCCCTGGCAAGGGTTCCTTCTCACCTCTGTTGAAAGGAAAGTCCACCACCTCCATGGTGCTCTGCCCCATTTTTATTTTTGTACAGCAGATTACTGTCAGGAAATTCAGAATGGATTCTAGTAAACGAAATCAGCTACTTGGGATTCTACCCTCTGGAGCTGCAGAAAACAATCTTGCTCCATCCTCTCATATGACAGCCAGTCAAACATTTTAAGATGGAGATCATTGTCACCTTTCAATCTTCTCTTCTCCAAGCTAAGCATACCAAATTCCCTCAGCTGTTCCTCCTGGGGCTTGTTTTCCAGACCTTTTAATATCCTGGGCATCGCCTGAAAGCAGCGTGTCAATAGTCTTCTTAATCTGGGGTGCCTGGAGCTGGACACAGAAGTCCAGGAGAAGAAGTCTGACAAAAGCAAAATAGAGCAAAAATATTGTTGCTTCCTTTGATCTGGACACAGCGCCTCTGTTGGTGCAACAGAGTAATTTTTTCCTGCCAAGCCTGCTGTGGCATACCCTGAATGTGGGCATCTGATTTGTCTTGTCCTACAGGATAACTCCACTTTCCCCCATGCCACAATCCTTTAATTTGCTCCGGTCATTTTGAGTTTGGGTTCGGTTTTCTCCAACATTAGCTGTGCCTCCAGGTTTGGTGACGGGGATCCTACCTGCGCAGCCTCACGCAACCTGTTTGTAGTCTGTTGAACCATGCTGGGCCCAGGCCAGAACCTCACGGACCACTTCACTCCGTGGAAACAAGGTTCTTGGAGTGAGCAGTCCTTGGTGGCAGCTGCAAATCCACCTCGCAGAACCTGCTCTAGCCCACGTCTTACCCACCAGGCCACAAGAATATTATTAAATTGGGGGGGGGGAGTGGTAGAATGCTTCACTGAAGTCAAGCTGCAGGATGTCCCTAGTATATCTCTGATGTGAAAACGTCAAAGTGTCAAAAGTAGATAGAATAGCAAGGATAAGTTATATCCCATGGCAGAAGACAGAAGATTGTAACAGAAAAAAAGGAGTCCAAGATCCGTGGGAGGTACAGTATTTAAAAATAAATGCTCAAGGCACAACTTTAGTAGCATGTCCAGCTTGGGAAACAGCAGTTTAAGAAGGATGCCAACAAACTGGAGCAACTCAGTTATTTTATGATAATATTGGTCTGATATAACATGTTTTTTTAAAAGAAGCCCATGCAGTTTCTTAGTGATCAAAACATCTAAGCACTCATAGACACTCTCTTTAATTTTTAGTAAAAGAATTTTTCCATGGATCAAAGTTAAGCTGACCCATCAGAACTTGCTTGGGTCTTCTTTTTTTGAAGAAGGAAATCACATTTGCTCACTTTTCAGGGACCTCAAGATGTTTTCCAATAATTCTCAGACATTGTAGACAAACGCTCAGAGATTGCATCCACCAGCTTGCCCTGGGCAATTTGATTTAAGCCAGGTGTTCCTGTACCACCTCTTCACTTATCCTGGCCAGTATCGCTTATCAAACCCAGCATCTTTACCTGTGCTAGATTGAGGACCCCTGTTTTCCTTTCAAAAGAACCTAGAAGCCAACCACAGCTTTGAAGACAGCATAGGCCTTCAAGCTTGAAAAACAACAGCAACAACAACAACCCACCCCTCCTGAACTCCCTTGTCTTTGAGCATCTCTGATGAATCCAGGATGTCCTTAAACTTCATTCCAAGAGGTCCGGAAGGCCTGTGGTGGCTGCCCTCCACTCTTCCGGTTCCTCAGCAGAGTAAATCCAGCCCTTCCTTTTTCCACTTGGTGAATTTGTTCTTCCCTGTTGGTAAGGGATCAACTTCTCATTCCTTCCACTTTCTGGAAGATGTAATTGTCAGCGAGTCAAGTGAACTATTTGCTGGACCTTCTGTTCTTGGCAAAAATCGACTTGGGACAGATACCAAGGTAGTAGACATCTCCTGTTACTACCTTTGAGTAAGAGGAAAGCCATCTGAGGGCAAGGGAACCTTCAAGCGTGCTGTTTGGTTTGGATGGAGGCCTTTAGAACTGAAGTCACTTTTGTTTCTCTCTCCATTCATTTTTATCCAAATTCTCTCAACCTACTCTCCCCCCCGCCCCAAACCCATGGATCTCCATGCAGAGGAACATATCCTTTACAGATAATACTATTCCTTCTCTCTTCCTGTTTAGTTTATTATTTTCAAGTAAGTTGTACCCTTCAATAACTACAGTTTTGTCTCAGCAGGCTTCATTAAGATCCCTTATATCATACTTGGTCTCCTGTGTTTCAAGTTCGAGGTCTTGTTTTTTTCCTACTCTTGGTGCAGATGGAGAAAAGCCATGCGTCAATGCCGTGTAGGCACGGTTGGCATCTGGCTTCATTGCAGGATTGTGCTACCCGTCTCTGAAACTATGCAGTGCTGCCTGTTGTGTATCAAGACAAGAATCTTCAAGGTTTGGGGACTGCATGTAGACAAGCATTCAGAGCCCAGGAGGGGGTAGCGTTAGGGTTACAAATAGGCTGTGTTTTGCTAGTTACATCCACGAATGTGACTATTTCATGTATATTGGCAGATGCTGACATTTTGAGAGCTTGAATCTAAATACTGTATATATTTTTGGGGTGTTTTGGATGGAAGTTCGAAGCATGTAGGGATAGTGCAGCAGCAATGAATGGGCTTTAAACACAGGACAGTAGCCCTTCTGCCAAAAGCCTCTTGGCACAGTGGTTAAAGTGCAGTACTGCAGCCAAAATTCTGCTCACAATGCAGGTTCAATCCCAGGTAGCTGGCTTGAGGTTTACTCAGCCTTCTTTCTGAGACTGGTAAATTGAGTAGCCTGTATAATTGAATTGTAAACTGTCCAGAAAGTGCTTAAAGCACTATGGGGCAGTTTATAAGAAGCATGCTTTGCTTTGCCATTGCACAGAGATGTACAGAAAGCGAAGCTGTGGTATTGACTCATCTAGGTTAAGGAGGATCAGGGGCTGAAAGTCTTTTAAGGATTGGTGGGGCTTCTCAAGCAATTCCTGGTGGGATAATAAAGGTTTTAAAAGACAATGAACAAACTAAAGGACGAGGATCCAATTAACGCTTTCTTGAAAGCAGAGCCCCCCCCCTCAAAAGGCAAGCGACAGCCCAACAGCCTGACCGAATGATGGATCATTGCCCGCCTGACCCCGTTACAACCTCTTGGAAGTTTCCTGCCACCGTGAACTGTGCACTTGGTGTCACCCTCTGGGGTGACCCTTTCACCCTGTAGTCTCTAACCCTTAACCTTTTGTATCTAACTACACAGCTTGAATATTTACTCCATGAGCCAGAATGATTGGATTGCAATTAGAGAAAGATTTAGGTTGAAATAAACCAGTGAAGCTTTAAGGTGCCGCACCTCTGTGCTTTATAAAAACTAAACACTAAAACGGCCTAACATGGGATCTCTGAAAAATAATACCGCCGCCTGTCTGCCACCCACAGCCCACAATCCCCATTGCACATGGGGCTGGGACCCAAGATTGGCTGAGGGCCCTCCAGGCTGCAGCGAGTCCTGCCTTCCCCACGGTCCCCCTGGTTGCTCCCCTTTAAGGCCAAACCAGGAAGCAACCCCCATGTGGTCTCCCTTCCTCTTCCCTCCCCAGAGCTACAGAAGAGGCGTGTGCGTATTTGGGGGGGGGGGAGAGAGACAACTGTCAAGGAAAGCACCCTCCTCCTTCCGTCAGGTGCCCAGGCCAGGTGCTGCTGTCTTCCTCTGCAGAATCACCCTCGCCAGGCACAGGGGTCTGTGGGGACAGGACAGGGACTTGCCCACGCCATGCCAGCCCGGGGTGGGCTGCAACATGTGGAGCACCTCAGAAGCCCCCTCCCCAACGTCACAGGGATAGAACAAGAAGAAAGGCGGTGAAAGAGGCCATGGGATTCTAGGACTCCAGCAGTGGACCCCACCCCACCCCCCCAACCTGTGGGAAGAAATGGAAGCAGCTCCATCTCCCTTGGTGGGCCCCCCATCTCTCCCCACCCCCCGCATCCCCTGTCCCTCTGAGGAAAGCCATGCAGGTACAACAGTAGAAACAGTTTATTTCTCTTTAGAAAAAGACATCATGAAAAACTAGTCTTTTGCTACAAAGCTGTGAGTTGGCAGTGATGAGCAGCTGGGACTGAGAAGGTGTGGGGGGGAGGCTGCCTTCCCACCAGCACCCCCAAGGGGGGGGCAAGGGCAGAGGATGGTGGGGGCTTTGTGCCCAGGCAGCTCCGCAAAATACAGCAGGTCAGAGGCGTGCCTGGATGTGCGACTCTTCTTCTGCCCCATGCCCCACTGCCTCCGGGATCGAAGGAAGCCTGACTCTGTGGCTGGGCAGAGCAGGCCCGGGCCCCGCAGAGCCCCAACGCCCAGCCAGGGCCCTGCCCCCGATGCCCGCTGCACCCCCTTGGGCCGGCCCGAGGTGGACGAGGGCAACGTTCATGTGGCTCTTCGGGTGGGGACGGGGGCCTGCAGCTTGTCGGGAAAGGACACAGGGTGGGGCTTGTGGTCTTTTCGGGACTGCGGGCGAGGAGGAAGAGGAGGAGGAGGAAGAGGGGCTGGAGATGAATAGCCACGAGGAAGGACAGTGAAACCACGGCAAAGTCTCAGAAGAGGGCTCCTGGAGGCAGGCAGCTGCTGGGGGGACTGCAGCCCCAGGCCCCCACCGAGCGGAAGTGTGTGACTGGGGAGCTCCCAAAGGCAAGCCCCCCCATACCTGAAACACATACGGGGGGGGGATGAGCAACGTCACTAAGGGAGGGAAGGGGAAAGGAGCTCAGCCAAGCCCTCAGGAACGTGACTCCAATGCCGTCAGAAAGAAGGTCCGAGCCCACCCCTCAAGGCAGGGAAAGATTCAAGCCCCACCTGCGGGGGTGGGTGGGTGGGGGTGTTTCCCTGTGGTCGCTTATTACCTGTGCTCGTGTGGCCCCCCTCGTCTGTGAAGCTTGGAGCAGAGAACAGAAACAGATGAGAGTAGCAAGGGCACCCAGGGAGCACCCCCCCCCATTGTCCCCACCTCAAGCCGCCAGCCACGCAGCCACCGGTGGGGGGGGCAGACGCATACCGCCACTGTGCCCACCTCCCCACCTCAGGAAACCCTCAAGGGGATGGTGGGAAACCTCCCTCCCCCATCCTCAAAGGCAGGGCTGAGCCCGGCTTCCGGACACCTACCCAGCCAAGGTCTCTGGGGTGAGATCAGCGTCGTCTTCCTCCTCTTCCTCCTCTTCCTCCTGGACCAGAGAAAGCCATGTGGCTGCAGGGCCCTCCAGAGTCCCAGCGACCCTCACCCACCTACCCACGCCAGCCCCACAGCTGGACGGCTGGATGGAGCGGCACCTCTGGCCTCACCGGCCACCCCAGCAGGAGGAGGAGGAGGTGGTGGGAGGAAGCCACCCCAGCCCCAGCCTACCTCAAAGTCTGTCTTGAAGGGGGGGCTGCCTACAGGCGATGGGACAGGGGGGCAGCCGCTTTCCATGGGGCACCGCGGACTTTGAGGCTGCCTGCCTTTAGCCTTCTCCTGCCCCTCCCCTTCCTCCTCCACTCCTCGGGAGCCTGTGGAGGGGAACAGAGGCCCTGAGGCATGATGCACCTTATCACCCCCTCCCCTTATCATGCAGTCAACCCTCCAAGCAGGTGAGGAACACCTTTACTCACTGGGGAGAATTTCCCTGCCTCTAAGAGGCCAAGTGTGTGTCTCGTTTCTCACCCCCCCCGCCCCCGCCACCACCTCTCTCTGGAAAGGAAGGGCCATCTGCCCTTCGGCGGCACCGCTCTCCCCTTCCAGACTGGCAAGGCGCAGAGAGGAGGGTCTGCCCGCCCTCCTTCGGCACACATGGTACAAAGAGACAGGAATCCCTCCAATGCTCATATACTCTCCTCCATTTACAAAGGAGCATTTTACATCCCAGAGATCAAGGGCCACGTGGAAGGCCTGAGCCACTGTGAGCGTCACTGCCTGAGCCTGCGAGAGGAGGAGGAGAAGAGAGGAGGAGGAGGAGGAGGCCAGGCCAGGCCAGGCCAGGCCAGGAGGTGGCAACGGGCAACCCCCCCACCTCTCATATAGCACCGGTCCAAGGAACCCGGAGGGGGAACGGCAGGAGGACCCACCCGTGGCTGAAGCCCAGGCCCCTGCACTGGCCACACAGGCGGGCAGCACAAAGCCCCACCCACCCCACCCACCCCTCAGAGCGGGCCCCTCCTGCAGACGGGGCACTGAGCTGGTCCCGGGACCCGGCCCTCCTCCCTCCCCTTTGCCCCCAAGGAAGAGGTGGGCACTTACAACCTTCTTCTTGGGGGACAGAAATGCGTGGCACTCCAGGGCTCCGCTCTGGGGGTTCTGCGCCACGTAGGCAAAGACTTTGTTCTGAAGCTTGTCCGTGGTACAATAGGAGATCCTGCCAGAGGTGGGAGAGATGCTCAGCATTTCCTCTGCTCGCTGCTGAGCTGTGCCTCCCGGGGGCTCTCTCTCTCTCTGTGTGCGTGTGTGTGTGTGCCTGTGTGTGTTTGCATGCACACACAGACATGCAAAGAAAAGAGGCAGCACGTGCCAAATCCAGAGGGAGCTCAGCGCACGTGCCACGAAGACAGAATGAGGGCAGGGAAAAGCAGGGCCTAAGAAAGGGGAACGGGCCAGGATACAGAAAAGGGCCAAACGCCAGGCGAGAAGGAGGTGCCACGGGGCCCCTTCTGCAACCACCCAGCAGTCAAAGGAGTACCAAAAGACCTAAACCCCCTACCATACAACCCCCGACCCCCCCCCCAGCAAATGAACCAGGAGATGGAAGGTTTTTCCTCTGAAGGGGAGGAGGGGGCCTCTCCGCTGAGCCCAGGCCTGCGTTTCATTTGCTCAAGCAGGCTGCCCGCCCAGCGGCTCCTTCCAGCCCCACCTTCCCCCTGTAGGGACCCCCCATGCAGGGAGAGGTGACCCCCGCACCTCAACCCCCCTCCCACCCTGCTGAGGGTGTCATTTTCCCCCCACCCGTCCCCACCGGTAGATGGAGATGCAGGCAATGGTGTCCTGGGTCTCGGCGTCTTGCAGGGAGAGGCCGCGCGGCGAGACGGTCAGGATCACCTTCTGGAACTTCTTGTTCCCCACCCGGGCCTGGAGCGTGTGAGAGGAAATTTTTTGGGGGGGGCGGGAAAGGGCGAATGAGAGGGCAGGGAGGGGTCCCTCAGAGGGGTCCCCTTCCAAGGCGACAAAAAGAGAGCGGAGGCTGCAAGAGGCAGGACTGGGGTGGGGGTGGCATTTCTCTCCTCCTCAGCTGAGCTGTGGGGTGAATGAAGGGGGGGCAGCAAAGCTTAGCCGGTGTGTGCATGCCTGTGACCCATTTTGCCCCCACCTCACCCACCCTCCCTCCTGCCTTAACGGAGGGGGGGCCCTACTCTGTCCCTGCCTCAGCTTCACCGGTGGCCCGGCTGTCCTGCCCGCCTGCCCTCCCTTGCTTTCTGCCCCCCCAACTGCCAAGGCCCCCCCCACTGGCTCTGTCTGGAGGCTCCCCGGCCTCACCCCCACGAGGGGCCACCAGGTCCTGGGATAACGTGGCCTTCTCAGCGGGGACTCCCAGGAGCTTGGGGGACCCTCAGGGATGGGGGGGGCTCCGGGGGGAGGGTGCACGGCCCCTGCCCTTCCCAAGAGCCCGTTGCTGCTCTCCATCCCACAGGCGGCTTTTCTTGGGGGGGGGGAAACAAAAACGCCCCAAGGGCCAAGATGGGAACTGGGTCTCTGGAGGCCAGGTGTGTGTTTGTGTGTGGGGGGGCTGTCCTGCTTCCACCCCCTCTCTCCCCTGCCTGGGGGCCCACCA